ACCCACCCACCACCCACCAAAACCCACTCAAGCAGAGCCAAATAAACCACCTACCGGACGACCGACCAACCAACCACCCATCCATAGAGCTGCAATGCTGTTCGCGTCGCAATTGCCGTAGGCCTTTGTCGGATGCTGTTAAACCAAACCGAGCCACCCACCCACCGACCTCCCTTGACAAGAGCACCACCCTAACTGCGAGCCTCCCAAATCCCGTTGGTATTGCAAGCTGCTTCGTTTTCGGCACCGACCGAAGTCCCGAGTCCCGGATATTATATGCATACTTGAACTATGCGAGGAAGGAAGCGAGTCAGTTGCCACCCAACTACTGCCACGCCCCCGCCTCTGTGGCCACCCACGTAGCTTGTTTTGTACATGTATCTGTATCTCTAGCTGTATCCGTTTTTGCATGCGACTGTAGCTGTATACATTTATATATATATATATATATATATGTATATGTATATCTTTATCTATATATATATATATATATATGTGTGTGTGCTTTATGTACACATGTACACAGCTGTACCCGGCCGTAGTGTAACTGTATGTGTGTGTGCGTTTGGGCCACTTTACAGCCACAGAGCCACCCACTAAACAACAATGCAAAAACGTCTGCATTTCAACTAACACACGAACAACAACAACAACAACAACCCTTAGGGCGCAGCCACCCCCAACCCCTGGGCATAGTTTGCTGCCGAAAAATTTTGATACATAAGCATTCACTGCTGCACCCCAAAGCAAAACTTGCCCGCTTAGAAAAATCAATACTATATTTTACAACACTTTTCTTTTATATAAACCAAAAATTAAAGCATATTTATATATGTATATATGTAGCCGTATAATATAAATTCTATTCAGGTCTTTTAATCGATTTTTTCGCCAACACGCGACAGCAGCCAAAAGTAAAGGTCCCCAACACCCCCAATCCCTAAGCCCATCCCCAGCTCCAACTCTGGTAGCCAAGTCGCATGCCGACTCACTTGCACACACACACACATAGCAGCAGCCACAGCCGCAGCAGCGCCCGCTTTTTCTCTTTCGCTCTTCGCCTTGCCAGAGTAAAGCGAAGCGACAAAAAAAAGACATAAAAAACACAATGTAGGAAGAAAAAAGTCAACAATAAATTCAGTCTTTGGCAGCACCATACACTGACCCTTTGCTGTTGCACTGCTGCTGCAAATTTACCCTTTGCTCTTGGCTGATCGTGACTGAACACTGTTGACACTTGTTATCGATAAAAAATAAAAAAAACTGAACGAAAGACAAACGATTGGCGTGCAATTAAGTTCAAGTTGGCACCAAACGTGAGGAACTCTTAGTAATCACAAACACACACAGGCACACATGCACACATACATACTCATTGAGAGAGAAAAAGAGACGGAAAGAGAGCGCGAGGAGAGAGTGACCACTAAATCACTGTTGCTGCCCGGGGGCTATCTGCCATAAACGCTCTCTCTCTCTCTTTCTCTCGCTCTAACGCTTGCGAACGTAATCATTAAATGGGATCGCAATGATTTTGTGTTGCTGTTTCTCCCGCTTGAGCTTTTGTTTTAGTTGTCAACAATGTTTGGCGCTTAGGCTTAGCCACATACAAGTACATACAATATATATAAATATATATATTTGTGTTCTTGTGTTTGTAACTCAACGAAGCATCGCTGCATGCAACTATTGAAGCATGAGCATGCAATTTATGTACTCACACACATATACTCACACCAGTCACACATTTAAACCTATGAAATACAACAACATCACTAAGCGACTGTACTTTTGATATAAAATCCACTCAACTACATACATTTACTCACACTCACACACATGTATATATATGCTGGCATATGCACTAAAATACCATTTCTACCCCAACCACCCCACTCGACACCCACAGGCACTACTACTCTGTGTTTAGTTTTAGTTGCGCTTTAAACTGCATTTGCTTCTTGTTGTTGTTATTGTTGTAAGCCTCTGCATATAGAGAGCTTGCGTATGTATATAAATATGTATACATGTGTGAGGTATCGTATGCTTCTCTGTGTGTGTATTTCAACAATTCGTTTGAATTGCAGCTAACGAAATAAAAAATAAGTAAAACAGGTGCAGCCGACTTTTTAATATTCTATTAAAATAATAAAGGAAAAAGAAACAAAAACTATAAAACTTGCATTTAAATAAAATTAGTATTCATATTTTTTAAACCAAACTTTAAAGATTTGTCAGTTAAGTTTACTCTACGTCTTAACACATGCTCTACCCCACCAAATAAACGGAACTGTAATGCAAATTTTGAATAGTTGGGTCACAGGAAAAGAAAATCCATCATAACCTAAATAGGAAAATCATTGCATTAAGTCTGCCTTATGTCATGTATGTGTATGTGTGTGTGTAGAGGAGGGTGGATAAACAGGTGCCGTTTCACTTGCACACAAACTGAACGATGAAATTTTCGGCTGCTAGCCCCGCTCCCAAATATTCAATACTAACTCTCACACACACACGGATACAACGCATGTTACTGATACCAATACACACAGGCCCACACACACAGCTCAACGCAACGACTAGAAAATGCGGGTCTGGGTCGTCATCGAGACGAGACGGCGAGAATGCAAGCACATAAAGAACGCCAAAAATAAGTTTAAAACTAACGACAGTCTGGTGCGTGTGTGAGCAGACAGTATAACAAACGCCAAGTGTGAGTGAGCGAGCAAGTAGAATTTGCTTGCGTGTGTGTGCGTATTTTGGAGCATGCAACTTTTCGTGCTATTGCCAAATGCGTTCGTTGGCTCAAGAGAGGGAAAGAGATACAGTGAAGTGAGAGAGTAAATGAGTGAACGAGAGTGAGCATGCAAGTGGAAGGGGACAAAGTAGTAGAGTAGTGCGAGAGAGTGAGGCTGGACGAACAAGTGCATGCGTGCGTATTTAAATGTGTGCGCTGCTGTATGTGTGAGAAGGGTCACTTAACGAAACTCTCTAGTACACGAAACCAATGCAATCAACTGATTAACGGTTTTTTCTTTTGTATTGTTTGCAAATGAAAGTTCATTAACACAATATTCAAAACAACCCAGTGTAGTGTACGCTCATTCATAATGACGCCAATACACGCCACTAAAATATCCTAAAAAGAACCAACACAACACACAAACAAACACATACACACCCACATTAGTCTGAGGTATGGCAACCACAAATGTGTATATAGATAACGGCAACCCCGTTGCTCAAACATAAGAACGTAGCCAAGCGACAAACTGAAAATATAAGAAACAAAAAAGAAAAAATAGCAGCAGCAGATAATAAAAGCGAGCGCCTAAGCATGGCGTCACTGAGACGGCCACACGCCTAACAACAACAACGCCTACCCTACCGGAAAAAAAACACGGTAAAAGCTGTAAAAATTGTCAATATAGAAAAAAGAGACGAAAAAAGTCAACGCTAACAACAGCTTGCAAAATAATGTGCGCGAGTGTCGAAGAAGCCGCTGACATCGCGTTAGCGTCAACGTCAACGTCAACGTCAACGACGACGTCAGCAGCAGCAAAGCAGCGGTAGCGACTGAGGGTTTTTTTAACGAGCGTATTGACAAGCGCACACTAGTACGAAAACTCAACACACATACACACATAAATATATATATCGACATGCACACGCGACGTAGACGCCGGCCGCAGCCGCAGCAGCAGCAGACCGGTTGAGGTTAAATTGGATAGGGGAAGCAGATGCGATGGATAAGACGTAGGGCGGGGGCAACTGGCTGGCAAGGCATACATATTGAATTTTTCTTCGACGTAATGAAAATTTTTGGCGTGTTCTTGAGATGATTATGCTTTGGTTCTTTGTTTTTGTTTGAAACTTACCGCGGAAAGAGAAAAGAGGAGAAAATCCGTTAAGCTGCTGCTTGTTGTTGTTGCGGGCGCTGTTTCAACAACGCTGGCGTCCAGCCTCTTGGAATTTATACTAATTTTCCAAACTCACACACTCACACACTCTCACAGTTAACCACACACACCAATGAAGTGCACGAAAAATTTTATTAAATTTTCTGCCTTGAGAAATTTCACTTTTTTGTGGTTGCGCTTGGTAATTTGCTTATTTACACGTACATATATAATAAGAGATATATATAAATATATATACGTTTGCTTATTTACGCCAGCATATGCACGTACATATGTATATACGCGTGTTGACTGTGCGCCTTTTAACACTAATACACTTGCAGAACGCGCTACTGCTGGTGCTGCGTCGTCGCTGGTCGTTCTGCTTCTTGGTTGCCTTCTACGGCTTTCCAAAAAATTATTTTTTTCTTCACTTTTTTTTAAGCGCACACAAATCGCGCCAGTAAATTTTTTGTTAAATATTGCACTTTTGTTTATTTGCTTATTGAATTTAATTACTATTTGATTTGTTTACTACTGCTCTCTCACTCACTAAATAAACACATGCATATTTAATTATATACATACACACACGAAGCAGTGAAGGGGGAGGGCGAAACCGTTGTATTAATAATTACACCTGTAACACAATCGCGAGTAGCATACTTTCTTTTATCAGCTTTGTTTGTAAACAAATAACAAAGTCGTAATAGTAAAATAACTAAACGCTGCTTTTATCCGCTAACGTTTCTGCGCGTCCAACCCGCTTGATGTTGTTTTTGTAAATGTTGCTTATACATTTAAAATAATCGCAGTAGTGTGACCGCGAACGTCTAATGCGAAATATACCAAACTTTCGACGCATACGAAGGTGGTACGCGTTTTAAGTAGGCCGCAATAGTATCGATACTTATGTTAGCCTACAGTCAATGTACATGTAAAGTGTGGAGTAGCTGTCTCTGTTAACTGAAAACATTTAGTTTTAAGTCTGTTATGATAATAATTGCATGATCCATTTAATTTATTTTTTTATAAATTTAAGAAAAGTTTCTTTTTCTTTTGCATAATGCTAATATGTTAATAACAGCTGAATTTCAGAGTTAAGCTTGGTTATGCAGCATTAACATTTTAACAAATTATTAAACTATATTGTGCTAAAACAGATGTTTTCGTCAAGTTCGTAGATCGTTCGTTCAACCTGGAACTGGTTTACTATATCGATATCGACATAATTATTAATCAAATATATACTTTAATGCTTTTCAAGCAATTAAAACTTATTTCAATATATAGGTAAATATTAAGCTTTTCTCGATTGCACCATATGTTCTAAATATGCTTTGCGACAGTCCATGTTATCAGCTGGCCGATTGTATGGAACCCAAACTGGCTCGCCAACAAAATATCGACGCGCTTGTATATAGTTCTGTGGATAAGCAAAGGTAAGAGGTTGTCTAGATGGACATTTATAAACTCTGCGTACCTTGCTGTCCAGTGTAAACCGATGATAAATGCCAGCAGGTATTATAATCAAATCTCCCTTGACCACTTCTATACGCAACCAGTTGTCTTCGTTGCTGAAAAGTAAATTAATTTGTTGGGTAAAGTACAGACACCTAATTTTGAGCAGTTTTGCCCATTTGTCTAATGAATTTCAGATCACACTTAGCTAATAATAACACAGTTAGCTAATAATGATATTGTTAGCATCTTTTTTATAGCTTCTTTCTGGCTATTAATGTCAACACAGTCTGCTTACTTACTCGCGCACATCAAAGTACCCGGAGCCATCGAGAACCAATCGAATTTCTTCATCCGTGTGTAGGTGTTCCGTGTAGAATGCCTTTAGCTTGTTTAGATAATCAGGCAGGCATTGCTCGGAACAGGTGATCTACAGTAATACAACTTAGTCAATAACCCCTTGTATTATTATTTATGCCTACCTGATCCTCGTATGTGTAGCCACGTTTGCTGCGCAGCTCTTTTAGCACCTCATCGTTCTCATAGTTGTCTGCATTGATCTACAAAAAGTGAACGTCGAAAAAGGTGATAAGCGCGACTTTGGCAAGGTCGTTGATAGGCTTTTTTATAAAGTCTACCTTGAAGTACTCCACGCCCGTTTTTTTGTAGAGTGTCTCCAAATCTAGATAGGAAGCTGGTTCTCGCTTGTGCTCCAGTCGCTGATCACTGTCATCGCTGTCCATAAACCACACCTGCACCATTATTAGAAAACTAATTTGTAGGAGCTTCAAACTAATTTGTGGGAGTACAAAAGAAACAAGTGAAATAGTTGATAGACTAGTCGATAATCGTTTCCTCAATTCGATAGTTTGATTGAGTTGGAATAACAATAAGAATTATTCTCTTATCTCGATAGTTTTCTGCAGGTTCACTCACAAACGAACTAGTCAGCTCAAAGACTATCGTTCATTAATTGTGATATTTGTTTTGTTTTAATAACAAGAGAACTTGAAACTTAATTTTTATATATGTGTCAATTTGTTGACACTTAAATGCTATTTATTTTATGCAATTTATATTTACGTGGCATATGCCTGTCGTGTATTTGAAATTTATTTTTGAATCAGTTCCTTTTTTTCGTAGTTGAATTTATCGATTAATACACTCGTTTTCTAGTAACTTTGGCTCTCGTGTGTTGTCTTAAATTGCTTGTTTATGTTTGTCAAATTTTGAAATGAACAAAAATAAAATATAGACATCTACTCACATTGGTTATATTTAAAATATATTTATAATGAAATATATGTTCGCACTCTGTTTAGGCGATTCAAATTGAATCTAGTTTGCTTAACCGTTCAACTGAAATTCATTGTCGTTGCCATACCTGTCGAAAAAGATCACATTTATTCTTTTTTTGGATAGAGTCAAGCAAAATTAAAAAAATTAAAATTTGGTTTTTTTTCGTGAAAATTTATAGTTTTTTTCCCAATCTTTAAGATGAATGCAATTCGCTTGGCTCGCACTGTTACTAAATGCTATTCTATGCGCTCGTACAGCATGGCTCCATGTGAAATATTGGAGCTGCTCGAGGCGGGCTACCAGAGGTTGGCTGAATCCGATTCCCAGTCTTTGTTAAAGAAACATTTAACCAAATCAATTTTTGACAAGCTGAAGACGAAAGTGACGCCCTCGTACTGTTCGACGCTCTTAGATTGCATTCAATCCGGTTTATGCAATCACGATTCAGCAGTGGGCATCTATGCGCCCGATCCGGAGGCTTACAAAACATTTGCTGACATCTTCGATCCAATTATCAGTGATATCCACAAAGGATTCGGCAAGGCCAACAAGCATCCGGCTTCCTGCTATGGCTACGGTGCGGATTTCCCCAATCTAGATCCGGAGCAAAAGTACGTTGTGTCAACACGTGTCCGTTGTGCTCGCTCCATTCAAGATTTTCCTTTCAATCCCTGCTTGAGCGAGGAGGATTACCGCAATCTGGAGTGCATGATTTCGAAAGTGCTTCTCACTTTTTGCCATGAACACTCCGGAAAGTACCTTCCACTTAAAGGAATGGACAAGGAGGTCCAGAAGAAACTGATCGATAACCATTATCTGTTCAAAGAGGGCGATCGTTTCCTACAGGCTGCCAATGCCTCCAGGTTTTGGCCGACGGGCCGGGGCATCTTCATGAATCGCGATCGCACATTTATGGTGTGGGTCAATGAGGAGGATCACATACGCGTTATCTCGATGGAGCGAGGCGGCGATCTGGGCCGTGCATACGAAAGGATGATCATCGGCCTGGAGTCTCTGGCATTTTCACTCAAATTTAGCTGTGACAAGCGATTGGGTAACCTGACTTTCTGCCCATCTAATTTGGGCAACACAATTCGTGCCTCGGTGCACATTAGGTTGCCACATATTGGCAAGGATAAGGCCAAGCTGGAGGAACTGGCCGGCAAACACAATCTCCAGGTACGTGGAACCAGCGGCGAACATTCAGAGGCCAAAGATGGTGTCTACGACATATCCAACAAGCGTCGCATGGGGCTCACTGAATACCAAACTATCGGTGAGATGCACAAGGGCATCTCCGCCCTGATCGAAGCCGAGTGCCGAGAGAGCTCTAAGAAATAGGAAAGGCTCACATTCGAAGAATGATCTGCCTATCGATGGATCGGTTAATATTTGTACTAAGCTAGAAAAGCCTGATGGGGGTAAATCATGTTTGATCTAAGCGTAAATATTAAAGGTATACAGATTAGACTAAACCATAATTTATTACAGTTAATATAAATATTTTGTAGATCAAAGCCTGTCAACCGTGGAATTTAAATTTATTTACTCCCAAAGCTATATGCACATGGATGTACTTCCTACATGCTTTTAGTACTTGCTGGTAATTCCCCCAGTTTGGTTCTGCTTGTTTCCTTCGCCTAGGTCTTTTCTGTTTCCATTCTCCTTCTGCCTCTTTAAGTCCGTTTCTTTTGCTAGCATGCTTTCTCTCTTTCTCGTCTTCTTTTTATTCCTCTTCTAGTCTTCTGGCTTTTTCCTCCTACTGCTCCGCTTCTAGGCTTCTTTAGGCCTTTTCCTTTTTCGAGTCTTTTCATTGTCTTCTCCTAGTATTCTCTTTCTAGTGTTCTCTTGCTTCTAGTCTTCTGCTCCTTCCTTTCCTCCTAGTGCTCTCTTTCTTCCAGACCGTGCTTAGCACCTATGGCCTTTCTCCTGTCTGCCATCTACTAGTTTCCTCTTATCGCTTCCACTTCCTGGTCGTTTCATATCCGATGTCCTCTCCTAAAGTAAATATGATTCAATTTGTATAGGAAATAAAAGAGAATGAGCAGCATTGTATACTTACTGCTAAGCGTCTTTCTGTGATAGCTTCTCTGCTTCTTCCTACTGGACCTTTGCCTCTTCCCCAGATTCGTTTACTTCGCTCTTAGCTAAAAACCTCATGAGAATTGCATAGGAGAGCATTGAAACGCGCTGCAGCAGCTGAAATATAATTGATCTGGTGGCAAGCCTTGATCACATATCTTTGATCAGTCAATCATTTCATACATTTATCTATCATCTATCTAATTTATACATATAACTTTTATCTAGCTCTGCCTTTTCTTTTCCTTAGCTTTATTCAAAACACAGCCTGGATTTTTTTATTTTTTTTATTATTTGTTTTTTATAATTTTAATTCTTTTATAAACTTAAGACTTAAAATAAAAGTATTTAAAGTTTTTATGTTGTTTTTTTGCTTGACACAAATGCCAAAATGTTTTACATTCTTTTCTTTAGATTTTTCTTTAAGCAAATATTTTGTTGTGAATTAGTTGTCCATTATTGTTGTTGTTGTTGTTGTTGTCTGTGGGGCTTTGGTGTTGTTGATTGTGGTTGGTGGTTGGGCGGGCATGCCACGGCCGTCTATGGCCGCGACTCTCAAAGTAGACGAACGAAATGCCGAGTGCCGCAGGCAAACGAACGATCGGGCATACCCGGTACACAAATACCCTACGCAAATTCTACGACAAGACTAAAGCAAACGCACCAGCTGGAAATGGGAATTTCCACTAATGGAAAACACATTCCAGGCGGCAGATAAACAACAAATGAACTCCATTGAGCTGTTAAATTGGGTAAGTTTGAACCTTCCCCAAATGGAGTTCAATTTGGGTTTTTTTTAGGGATTAGAGAGTTAGCTGCTTACAAGCTCTTCTCGAGCTTGATCAACTCGGTGATGCCATCGTACATCTCCTTGACGGCCTGGAATTCGGTGAGACCCATGCGACGCTTGTTGGAGATATCGTAGACACCGCCCTCGGCTTCGGTGTGCTCGCCGCGAGTGCCGCGCACCTGCAGATTGTATTTGGCAGCGACCTCCTCGAGCTTGGCCTTGTTGGAGGCCAGCTTGGGCACCTTGATGTGCACGGAGGCACGAATGGTGGTACCCAAGTTGGTGGGGCAGAAGGTCAAGAAGCCAAGACGATCATCATGGCTGAATGGCACACGCTTCTCGATCTCATTGACGGCGGTCACCAGACGACGATAGATCTCGCCGAGATCGCCACCCTGCTGCATGGAGATGATGCGCAAATGATCCTCCTCATTGCACCAGACCAGGAATCGCTTGTTGTCGTTGTGGTAGATGCCACGACCGGATGGCCAGTAGCGGCAGGCATTGGCAGCCTGGAGGAAACGATCGCCCTCCTTGAACAGGAAGTGATCATCGATCAGCTGCTGCTGGACGGCCTTCTCCATGCCAGTCAATGGGTAGAACTTGCCCTTCAGCTCACCCTCCAAACCGGACAGAGTGCTGCTGACCTTGGCTTCCATCTCCTTGTACTGGGCCTCGGTCAAGCAGGGGTTGAAGGGATAACCCTGCATGGAGCGACCGCAACGGACACGAGTCGAGATCACATACTCGTTGGTGGGATCGACATTGCCGAAGCTGTTCACATCACCGAAGTCCGATGCGGGATGCTTATCGGTCTTCTTGAAGCCACCATGGTAATCCTCAATGATGGGATCGAACAGATCGGCGAACACTGTGTAGGCCTCAGCATCGGGGGCATAGATGCCTACGCCAGAATCGTGATTCTCCAAACCAGATTGGATCACATCCAGAAGGGTCGACTTGAAGGTCGGTGTCACCTTGTTCTTTAGGTTGTCGAAGACCTCCTTGGTCAGGTATTTCTTCAACAGCGACTTCGAATCGGAGGCGACCAACTTGGCATAACCCTCCTCCAGTTTAGCGAGAACAGCAGCGTCAACCATGGTGTCTTGTTTGCTATAAGAAGAGTTCAGAACAGAAGACGATGCTATTAGTTAAGCGTTACTTTTGGGAATAGAATTAACTGCATTAATTTAGAGCTTAGATATCTACAGTCAGCTAACTTAGCCTCAATACAATTCAAAGTATCTTTTGGTACAGATCTTAGGGTCATATTCATATCAACTAACTTTAATTGATTTGTCTAAGGCTGGATTAGTTATATTACTCTATATAAATGGGAAAATGACAGCGTTTATACAACTCTCATTAGACTTGGATCTTAAAAGTTTTTGTGCTTATGTTCTTAGATCTATAAAACTTAATATTTATGTGTTTTACGATTCAAATAAGCTTAATTATATTATTTTTGATATGAATTCAATATGATTATAATTTTATAAATTTTTAATCTAAGTTTTCAGCCTTACATATATCTAGATCTCCCAATCAATATACTAATTGTTCTGCATTTGTGCATTTTCCGAAACATTTAGTTAGCTTTAGGTTTTAGGCTCTGCCAATTCTGGCGCCCAAAAGTCGGCAATGTTTTTCGCCCATTTTTTCCCATTTAGTTGGGAATCTCTAGAGACAGACACGCGACAGCGCAATTTCAAATAGAGTCCATTAAAAAAAAAGTAACTGCCTCAAATATTTCGGGGTTGCTTCGACAACTCGTGGCTGAGGGCTGTTGTTGCTGCTGAGCTTCAGTTAACTGAATGACTGAAATGTTTTTGCCGGCTGTCGCTGAATACGCATACCGAGTAGATAGGAGAGAGTGTACATAGCATGCAGCATATATATATAAATAGCGTATGCTGCCCCGCCCTGCCCCCGTTACGTGCGGCACATGCGCGCCTCTTGTCTGCCCGGTCCCGGGTGTCGTGGCCCGGGCCCCGGTCAAAAAAAAAAAAAAAAACAAAAAAAAAGGACCAGGGCAATAATATTTTTATGCCCACTATAGTATTCCCTTCTGTTTTCTAATTTGTTCCTCTCTTTTTGGACAGCCTGACGTCAGCAGCAGCGCCAGAGGACCTATGACAAGCCCCAAAAAGCGGCGCACACACTATTGTCTATATATACCATGTACATATTATCTATCTATGTATAGCAGAGGTTGGCTTGAAAAGTTGGCGAGTTAACAAAACATATTTATGCATTTCGAACTCAGGGTTTTTATACTCTAAAATTACTTTAATTATTGCAAATATTCGCATAGAACATATGTCCAGCTTCTTTTATATTAGGAATTATTTAAAACACCCTCGAAGGCATCACATATGCATATTTAAGTTTAATATATATAAAATAATATTAATTTTTCCATTTTGCCAGCTTTTTTAACTTGTTAATTTTTGAAACCACCCTCGTATATCACATATGTCTGCTGTATCTGTCATATGTCTAAAGTATTTGATATATTTTATTTTTTTTAATTCTTTTATAGTTTCACAGCTTGTTCAGCATTAAGTTTCCCTACTTTTCATGCCACCCTCGCACATACATACACACACATCTATATAAATATACATATGTGTATTTATATACACACCCATCTTGGCCAGCGGCTGGCGTTGTGGCCGTGCCATTGGGCTCGCCTCCATTGGCTGTGGCGCCGGCATCGCCTTCGATCACCTTTTCCTTTTTATCCTTTGAGGCGCACAAACCCATTTTTTTAGTTTTAAGATTTAAGTTTTAAGTTTTTAGTAAAAGTTTCTTAAGAGTTTCGTTGATTTTGTAAAGTTTTGTATTTGTAGTAAAAAATTTGGCCTTGGTCAAAAAGTTATCGTTTTTTGTTGGTGTGTGTAAAAAGTTTCTTTGATTTTGTTTTTGTGGGACTTTTGCAGGTAAAATGAAATCACAATGCAGCTGCTTTAACTACTTCACATACATATATAAAGATATATATATATATATTTCACACACACACACATGCACACACACACACGCACTCGCTTAATTTGTATTGCTTTTTGTTTGATTAGAAATATTTTTGTTTTTTTCTCTTTTCTTTTTTGGTGGTTCGCTCGTCTTAGATGCTGTGAAAAGTTGTCAAAAATTCTTCTTTGGATCTTTTCCTCTTTCTTTTTAAATTTTTTGTTGGTTGTTTGGTTGCCGCGCCCAAAGGTATACTACAAAAAGGCTACTACACAAGAGTCTAGGCTACACACTAGGGAGCAAAAAAGGACGCGCGCGCGTGTGCTACACAAAGGTGCTAAGGAGCAAACTGCCAGCTGCTGACTAAAGGACGCGCCGAACAGCGAGCCACGCAAATCGAGTTCGATGATGCGGGCTTCGGCTGCGGCTGCGGCTTCAGCTTCGGCTTTAGCTTCGCTCAGACTCACTCGCTCTCTCTGTCTCTCTCCCTTCCGTGGCTTGCCAATTCGCAACTAGCGAACGGACGCGCCCACCCGGGACCAACTCACAATTCAGCAAGAGAAACAGAGCGCGACAACGAGAGAGAGAGAAGCGCGTGCGAGGGTTGCCCGACGAGGGTTGAAAAAGTCT